CCACTTTTCGTCGACATGGACGCAGTTCATCACGTCGTCGAAGGCGTAGTCCGACGAACTGACTGGGTGGACATGGTCGATCGCCCACTTCAATCGGACGGCCTTGTTTGCATCGGTGAGTGCGGGTTTGACTGTACTAGAGTACTTGACGAAGATCCCGCGGCGATAGTAGTCGTGCAACGTCGACCTTGGAATGCCCATTGCGGCAGCGATGACCGAAATGTCGTACGGCGAGCCTTTGGGACGAGCTTCAGACGTGCAGCCACCATATCGTGCTTGATGTTGCGGCCACAACGACCCTTCCGTTTCGAGCACACAGAACGACACGGCCGTATCTTGTCAGACAGGTCAACAGCTGCTCGCTACCAGATGCGACGAACCGTGCTTCTATCAACTCCAAAGGATGCAGCTACGTCAACGAAGGCACCTCTAGGCAGTGCCTTGTCGTCAATCATTCGCGCGAGTAGTTGCTGGAGGATGGCATTCCGGTCGTTGTCCGTCAAGTTCTTCTTGGCGCGCATTTCGTTTGTCGATCTTGACCCGCTGAGTTTTACAGATAAAGCTGTCTTTATCCGGATATCCGGATAACGCCTTTTAGGTTAAAATTGTCCAAGTTGTATGGGTTTAAGTATTGAGGCTTTCACTTGCTGTATCTTTTGTGATTGGGTTCAGTTTGGTACGAAGCAATGCCATTGGTGAACTGTAGAGTCTACTAATCACGCTCATGTTTTCAGAATGGAATAATTCGACCATCTTCACCGTCATTTCCCAAATATTCTGTTTGGGGCAAGTATTTCCGGACAGAGGTAGTAGTCCTTTTGAGTGAGACCTCTCCCGCTGTTGTTCGGACCGCACCAACGAAGCGCTTTTCTATATGACGAGACGTATGCATCGTATCTAAATGAATGTGTGTTGATGAGGACGTTCATGTATTCAATTACCGGGACTTTGCGTCCTGCGTCGTCCACGTTCGCGTGTTATCACGAACGACCATGTTCACATAATCAGCGATTAGGGCGTGGCCGTGGGTCTTTGTGAGCCTCTGCCCGCCTTTCATCTACTTTCCTTTGGAGGCCTGGCCAGTCATCAACGCAAAGTTGTCCGGAATGCGCAACAACTCGAGCATGGCAAGGCGCTCGACGCGCGACGTGCCTCGCTTCGCACGTCGTCGCTCTCGAGCCCCGTCGTTCCAACGCACAAGTGGGCAGTAGTTTGTGTGCCAGTAGTTTCGAGTAATGTGATCGGACCTTCAGTGACCAAGTTCAACTTGCTTTTGCTTTTGAAAAACCAAAAGTACCTCGAGAAGTAGTTTTGCTTTTCGTGAATTCGAGAATCGACCTTGCGAACGAAATGCGGACCAGATTTCCAAATTGCCTCTCCCTAGTGTAGTAATTGCGGGCATTAATTTGCATTCACGATATAACGCAAACATGCACTCAAATACCGTGTTTTAGACCAAATACCCGGTATCATAGATTCAACGGCAAAACTGATTGGCTAACCCCTCGGGCAAGCCACCAACCAGAAGAAAAGAAAACGGTCGTGGGTCGAGATGAAA